TAGGTCAAGGCAGGGCAACAAACGCTGAATCAGGAGCTCAGGCCCTTAGTCAGGGCTGAGCAACAATAGTAGGCCTGAGCCTCAACAGGCCTGGGAGAGGGGGAGACTGCCACCCATGGGTTGGGTGGCAGGGGGGACGCAGGCCCTCCCACTCCACTGCATCACAGCCCGGGGCCCTAGCAGCGGCAGTGGGGATCCTGGCCGCAACACACTGACATCGGCTCTGGCAGTGCAGCAGCCAGACTGGGGTCGGCTGCCCCCGGGCTACTTCCACACTCCCCCTCGGGGCCTACCTGGGGGCTGGTATTGGCCTCGGGGGGGGGTCCTGGACCATGGGTGCGTCTGGCCAGGGATCATTTGGCAGGCCCGGCGGCTCCTCCGGGTAGCGGGCGCGGGCCAGGCCCGGCGGCTCCTCCGGGTAGCGGGCACGGGCCAGGCCCGGCGGCTCCCGGCGGCCACCCTGGGCCACGGAGGTTTCTCAGCCCCGAGCTAGGCTGGAGACATCTGGTCTCCGGCGGCTGGGGCCTGACTGAGCTCTGAGGGCGAGCCTTTGTACTTCCGGGTCGCTGCCTGACCCCCTGAGGGGCGGGCTCAGAGCTCACTAGCTCCGCCCACTCCAGCCTCCGGATGGGCTCTTCCCCCTCCAAGGCCACACCGACTCACTACACTGCCCCACCACTGTCACTGCACTTTGAAATACAGGAGGAACAATTATACTGGGCAAAATCCTTTGTTGCTGGTGTAAATGGCTTCACCGACTTCAATAGCATTTTGCCCATTTATACCAGCAGAGAATTTGTCCTGCTATGGTCAGTACAAAACAAAACTAGTTTCTAGAACTGAGGAATGATTTAAAAGAATATCTACGAGGGATGGGGGAGTCCATTCAGCCTCATTTTTGAACCATGCAAACATCTCTAAATCGTTCCTAAAATAGCTTTTTTGTAATAAAAGTGGTGTATACAGAGCACGTGATGGTGTGCTAGAAAGGTTCTCTTCACACCCATTTGGGAGGACCTGCCTAACTTACTCAGAGCTTCACCGCTCCTGGGTAATTCAGACTGCCCACTCCCAACACTGAGTGCGGACTGTTCTGTGTAGCAGCTTGCTGGGTGGAGAATGGAGTAGTTGGGTAATGGGGGGACGGGGAGTAGTCTATCCAAAAAAAAAAAGGGATCAGACTTCCATGGAGAAATGTCAGCCCCGGTCCATTTCCAGCACTTTCTGTTTAAAATGTATGAATAGAAATAAAATACAAATTACATAGAAACTTCAAAGAGCAGAAAATTGAGCCTGGTGTGTAATTTCACACTGATTGGCCACCTACTTTGAGAAAAATGGTTCTTTGTGCCCCATTTTAAGCCCATATCAGACCTCACTGCTAACTCTGGTGCCATGACCAACACCTCCATAATGCATGAAGTTGAGTGGTATGGAGAATTATCAGTAGAAGTTGGGGAAATGGCATTGTTAGGAGGCCTTCTCTGAAAACTGGGGAAATTTTGTGGTCACCATGAGGGTTAAAATTGATGGAAGCCATAATGTAGAGAAGGCTCCTGTGACCAGTTGTTTTAATTATGCTTGCTTTCCAGCAGGTTTAACTAATATGGCAGTTCTGGCTGTAGAATTCTGCAGCTCCTACGGACTTTAACACCAGTTCAGTTGAGCCAGGGTTAGAATGGGTGGGAGTGTTTTGGTAAATTCCTCCAATGCAGACATCGTCTTATTCTGTAAGTTAATTTGCACACACTTTTGTGGCATTATTTCAAAATCTTGCTGTCAGTCAGATCAGTGGGAATTTTGCCATTGACTTCAGTGAGACCAGAATTTGACCCTGGAAGCAATAGATTTTAACACCACACTCTTTGTGTGACAGTGTCTTTCACGTGTGAGAATAGGATAAGATAGGGGGAACCAGATTCTACTCTGTTACTGCTGATTTGCACAAGTATAACTCTAATGGAGTTACTCTGGATTTACAGCAATGTAACTGAGAGCAAAATCTGGCCCTAAATATAGACTGGCATGGCTGGAATTGTAAAAGGGTGTCTTTATACACAAGTGCTCCATTGATGACTCATTTCAGACAATTGCAATGGAAGTTTAAGACCATTCTTAAAAACAACACATTGATTTCAGTCCCGTTTCCTGGTCACCATGTGTTTTGCTAGCTATCCTTTTTTTTGTTTGTTTGTTTGCAGTATGTACACAACTTTTAGTTTCCAGACCTGACGAGGAGAATATAAGTTCCTATTTACAGCTCATAGACAAATGTCTAATTCATGAGGTGAGTTGTGTCAGATCTTATAAAACTGTTGTTCTCATTGCTTAGAAACTGTTTCCAAAGTTTCTGTTTATGTAAACATTTTGGTTTCTAACACAAATATTTTTGGGGGTATTAATAGTAATTCTGACTGAGGCAGACTGTAAATGCAATGTGATGCACAGAAGTGTAGGTCACCGTGTCCCTGTACAACATCAAAGAACTGGAATTGAGAAATTCATCGTGCTTGTGACGTTATGATCAACAGCTGGATGACAGAAAAACCCAGGATGAATGTGCATGGGGTTTCTAGCAGAGAGACGAAACTATCGTTCAGCATTTCCAGCTTCTATTTTGTAGCAAACATTCTGTGATTCGGAACCTACCATTCTGTGTGCCTCTTCCTGAAAGCTGCTTGTTTATGGATTTTTTTTTTAATTGTAACTTTTTTCTAAAAGGTACATTACCACGTGTCCTTCAGGGTGACTGAAACATATTTTGAGCTCCATATGCCATAGATCTAGGGCACAAACCCTGCTGTGTATATTTATCCCCTTATGTGTACCGAGTTCCTGCTGCACTTGTTACTCCTGGGGGAATTCTGTGCCAAAAAATTAAAAATTCTGTGCAAAGTATTTTAAAATTCTGCATATTTTGTATGTCAAAATAACACAATATAATCACACCAGTTTGTTATTTTGGTAATTTATTTCAAGTACCTGTCATTGAGTATGTCTGTAACAGTACAGACTGGAGAAAAAAGATTCAGGAAATGTTTTTTTGACAGATAGATTCCTTGCTAGACCTATGAATACAGAACTCTGAGTAATTCATCTAAACTACAATACAGAACTGTATTGCACGCACCCCTCAGAAGCAGTGCAAAGGCTTGGGGGGATTCAGGGGTAACAGAAGAGCTGAGGGAGAGGGAAGAAGCCTGGAGTGAACCTGGAGGGTTATTGGGTGCGGGTGGGAGAAGTATGGGACAGTTTTTTGGGGGGAGAGTGATTGTGAGGGAGTTGGAGAGCCTCCCCCATGCAGACCCTGGCTGACCCCTAACTTTCCCATTCAGTCAGGCACATCTGCTCTTATCCCCGTGTGTCCCTGCAGCCTCCCTCCGCCATCCACATGTAGGGTGACCAGATGTCCCGATTTTATAGGGACAGTCCCGATTTTTGGGTCTTTTTCTTATATAGGCTCCTATTACCCCCCACCTTCTGTCCCGATTTTTCACATTTGCTGTCTGGTCACCCTATCCACATGTGGCCATGCACCCCCCTAGCCTCTGTCCCCATGTGGCCCTTCAGCCCACCTCCCATTCAGCCCCTGGCTCAATGCTGTCACCCCACTAGCTCCTGAGCCTGCATCCAAGTCTGGCCCCCACTAGCTCTTCTGAACCCCAATCTGTGATCCCCCCAGCAGCCCTGCGTGCCCCACTCTGTCCATCTGGTGCCTCCTCACCTGACCCCACTGTGAGGAAAGCAGCCTCTCTGGCTAACTGCCCTCTCTTCTGGCACCATAGCAGCCTCTGGTGGGCGAAAGGTGTACTGCAGTTCCTCTCCAGCAGAATCTATATTCTATGGAGAAAAAAAAATCTGCGGGGGACATTAATTCTTCATGTGTGCAGTAGTGCAGAATTCCCCCAGGAGTACCTTGTATACATATGTGCTGCACCTGAACTTACAAGATGCATGGCATTACATGGCCATGCATCTGAGATCTGGATGGATCTCTAAATGTTTTCCAGAGTCAAAAGATCTACAGTTTACACTGTCTTTACATGGTCACTTGTGTATAAAAGTGGAGTCTAGAATCACTAAGAAATCTGTACTATCCTACAGGAAAAGGAGTGGCAGCATTTTGGCAAAAGTACGTTGACTGCTGTAAACATAAGTATATACAGTATGCTAGGTGAAAAAAGGATTAAATTACAGAGTTCTGAATCCTCCAGTTTACTGTGACCACGTGCAGGGCCAGCTCTGGCTTTTTGGCCGCCCCAAGCAAAAACAAAAAAAACCTGCGGCGCGGCCGGAGCCAGGGTGCAGGGGGACTCCCTGCGCTGTGGGGGGAGGGGAAGGGAGCGGAGGAGAGAGAGAGAAGGGGCGCGGCCCCACCAGTTGCCGCCTCCAGGGAGGGCTCTGCGCTGCTCCGGTCGGCGGGGAGGGAAGGACACGGGCTGCCCTGCCGGGCTTGCTGCAGGGCGCTCCCGTCCTCTGCGCCACCGCCCCCTACAGGGCGGCTGGAGCAAAACACCACCCAAAAAAAAAAAGCGGCCATGCCACCCTAGGATTGGGTGGAATGCTGCTCCTACAAGCTGCCGCCCCAAGCACCAGTTTGCTCGGCTGGTGCCTGGAGCCGGCCCTGACCACGTAAGAAGCTATTACCTAAATAATAGAGCTCTCCGCTAGTTCTTGGGCATTTCCCATCCTCATAAAGGCTCCGATTCAGGAAAGCACTAAGTATGTGCTTAGGGTAATTAACCATTGGAACAATTTATCAAGGGCCATGGAGGAATCTCCATCACTGGTAATTTTTAAAATTAAGATTGGATTTTTTTTTAAAAGATATTCTCTAATTCAAAGGGAACTATTCTAAAGAAGTTCTGTGACCTATGATATACTGGAGGTCAGACAAGATGATCACAGTGGTCTGTTGTGGCCTGGAATCTCTGAAGGGTTTTCCTGAATCTGGGACAAAGACGGAGATTTCCAGCTCAGAAGGGAAGTCACTGACATTCAGGGTTTAAAAAAACCAAACATTATTCTCCCAGAATGCTTCTGTCCACAATAGTAACAAGTTTGCCCAGAGTTTTCAGTGAATGGTTGTGAACTGTCAGCATACGTTGTCAACGTACAGTTTGCCACTTGAAATATACAGCAGCTGCACTAGGAAATTTAATTTTACTATGAAGTGAGTGGTTAGTTTGCTTTCCCACCTCAGCAATGGTTCTGTCTGAGCCAGTCACATAGTTTAAATATAACCAAAGCTTCTAGTATGTGAGTGTACAAAGACCTCTTCCACCTGAGTCCAAGTTCACGGAGATCACATGAAAAGCTCCTTTCACTCTAGTTCTTCATGTATTTCCAGACATAGCAAGATTTTTTTCCCCTTGATTGCTTCATGATGAGTCTTGAAGTCAATGCAGCATTATGAACTGCCTCCAGCCTAGCCTAGTCTTCCCCCCTCCCCCCGCCGTTTTCTTTATATTTCTGACATTAACCAAATCACCAAGAAAGAAAGATCAGGCTTTTAGTAGAATGTGACTAGACCAGGGGTTGGCAACCTTTCAGAAGTGGTGTGCCGAGTCTTCATTTATTCACTCTAATTTAAGGTTTCGCATGCCAGTCATACATTTTAACGTTTTTAGGTCTCTCTCTATAAGTCTATAATATATAACTAAACTATTGTTGTATGGAAAGTAAATAAGGTTTTTAAAATGTGTAAGAAGCTTCATTTAAAATTAAATTAAAATGCAGAGCCCCCCCGGACCGGTGGCCAGGACCCGGGCAGTGTGAGTGCCATTGAAAATCAGCTCGCGTGCCGCCTTCGGCACCCGTGCCATAGGTTACCTACCCCTGGACTAGGCCTTTGAAATGTGATTCTGGCTGGGCACATCCCAGCTGCACAGGAGGGTGCAACTCCAAACTCACTCTCTGGGTAATGTAAACAGCGTTACACTGCTCTGGCTGCAATGGTATAAGGGAAGTGCTTGTTGGTATTTTCAAGAAATGTCTTAAGTGGAACAACATTTCCTCCCAGGCAAAATAGGGGCGGGAGGGAATAGATGCTCCATGCCCTATGAAGCCCCAGATTTTTCCTTGCACATTACACATAAAATGGAGAGCTTGTGAAAGGTGCAGGATTGAGAGGCAGAGAGACCGTGGACCTCTCTTTACCCTCTGACCACTCTCAGCCCAGGCAGTGGCTGTGCACAATTCCCCACATCACCCAGCCAGTGTGGCTAAACCTTCCCCTGGAAAGAGCACCTTTTATGGGGGAGAGGATCTCCGTTCAGCTCTTGGGGGGTTGAGACTGCCCACTGAGGTGCCAATGGCTGCCAGCTGTCACAGTGGTGGGTTTTTTGGTGGACACTGTTCCCCAGGGAGGTAGGGAGAAAGCACCAAACTCATGTCACGTTTGCTACTTCACCGCCATCAGATGGGGGACAGTTTTCAGTCACAAAGCTTGATTCCAGCTGGAGACCTTGAGAGGAAAGGGTCAGTTCCCTTCCCCTCATACTTCAGACACCTACCTCCTCCTTCGAGTGCTTGCACATGTCCATTCCAATGTAGGTGCCCGCCCCAAGCACAGCCGCTGGAATTTTTAACCCTAGTGGTATCTCTTGGGTCAGCTCCAGCGCCCTCTGGTGCTGCACGCTCATAGCTCTGGTATAAAGGGGCCTGTCAACCCTGCTCTCCTTCAGTTCCTTCTTACCACCTGTTACGGCTGCTGGAACTCCTCATCGCTTAGGCGGTCGTTCTCTTAGTGGTTTTCTGACATATGTAGTGTAAATAGTTTGTGTCGTTTTTAGTAGTTAGTGTCGTTAGTTTGGACACCTCCGCTCTTAGATAGCGGAGTTGTCCACCGTCCCACTGCCGAGGCTCGCGTCGGTCAATGGGTTTCAAGCTCTGCACTTCATGCAGTAAGTCTATGCCTTTGAGCGACCCTCACTCCAGCTGCCTCCAGGGGAAGCTCATAGGAAAGACACTGCCAAATTTGCAGGGATTTTAAGCCCCGGAATAAGCAGGACCGAACCGTACTGCACGTTTGAAGGTCCTCCTCTTGGATTTAGCCTTAAGGCCGGCCTCGGAGCTGCACTCAGACTTGGCACTGAGTACCTCAGCCTCGGTGCAGAGTGCACCTCCAACAACCCGGAACTCTTGTCGCTGGTCATCTTCCCCGGTGCCCAAGAAGAAACACTTGGGAACCTCCATATATGGTCTTTTTTAAAGACAAAGTCCAGTTGCAACCACCCCATCGTACCTTTCAAAAGTTGTCTCACAATTCCATTGCAGTCAAGCAATCTTTCTGCCTATGTTCTACCCTCAACCGCATGCGAACAGGGAGGAACAGCGCTTCCACTGGCTGGGTGATGTGGGGAATTGTGTGTAGAATGAGTTGTTAAATGAGCAAGTGGTGAGATGTTCGCGAGTTCGTAACACGCCCTGATGCACTCCGCTGCTGCTTTTTTAGCACAAGTTCCAATTCAGGACATCTGCAGTGGGGCAACCTGGTCATCAGTTCACAACGCACTATGCCATTACACAGCAGGCTAGAGATGACGCCGGCTTCAGCCGGGCGGCGTTACAGTCAGCCTGCCCTTGATCTCCGAACCCACCTCCAGGGCAATTGCTTGTGAGTCACTTACGTTGGAATGGACACATACAAGCACTAGAAGAAGAAGAAACGGTTACTAACCTTTCTGTAGCTGCTGTTGTTCGAGATGCATTGCACATGTCCATTCCAAAACCCACCCTCTGTCGGAGGTGGTCGGCAAGAAGAAACTGAAGAGGGTCGGCAGGGCTCATTATACCGGCGCTATGAGTGTGCGACACCAGAGGGCGCTGGAGCCAAGGCAACAGATACCACTAAGGCAGTGTTTCCCAAATTTGGGATGCTGCTTGTGTAGGGAAAGCCCCTGGCGGGCCGGGCCGGTTTGTTTACCTGCCCCGTCCGCAGGTCTGGCCGATCGCGGCTCTCACTGGCCGTGGTTCGCTGCTCCACGCCAATGGGAGCTGCTGGAATCGGCGGCCAGTATGTCCCTCGGCCCACGCCACTTCCAGCAGCTCCCATTGGCCTGGAGCAGCGAACAACGGCCAGGGGGAGCCGCGATCAGCCGGACCTGCGGACGGGGTAGGTAAACAAACCGGCAGCAACCCCAGTTTGGGAAACACTGCACTCAGGGGAAAAATTCCGGCGGCTGCACTTGGGGCGCGCACACACCTACATCGGAATGAACGTGTGTGACACATCTCGAAGAACAACAGTTACAGAAAGGTTGGTAACCATTTTTTCTGAGGTTCCATGTGGCAAGTCACCATCTTGGTAGCCCGGGCAAGTGACCGGGCACTCCAGAGCCATCCCTGTAACAGCTAGAGTGGGAGCTGTGGAATGGCTTGTGACATTCGGCTCCTCGCCAGGTTGGAGGGATGAGAACATTGATTCCATAATGTATCCTGGTTTCTGAGGCATGGGGTGGGACCAGGGTTGGAAATGGTGCCTGGTACTCCTGCAAGGCAGCGCGGAGTACTGCTGAGGGAGCAGGAAGTCATGAGAGCAGAGATATAAAAGGGGAGCCTGGAAGGTGAGGACCGGATGTTTGAGCTTGATGTGCATTGTGAGAGGAAGCCAGTGAAGGAATTGGGAAGGAAGGGGCATAGTCTGAGCTGCGGGAGGGGGAGGTGATTTTTGCAGCTGAATCTTGGATAGGCTTCTTGCTCCGATCCCGTGGTGATGGGTGTGTGACAGGTAATAACAACACTACTTAGATCTTGTGGAGCTAGCACTTTTCTGCCATAGATTTCAAAACACTTTACAAAGAAGGTATCTTTATCCCCATTTTACAGTTGGGCAAACTGAGGCATAGAGGCAAACTGACTTGCCAGAGGTCCCCAGCAAGGTCAGTGGCAGAGCCAGGAATGGAACCCAGCCCAGTTCTCTCTAGATAGAATTGAAAAGAGGTCAGAATCTGAGACACTGGAGAGAAAACATTGATTGAGTCCTGTATTCCTAAAGCCAACAGTTTTTCATTGGTTTCCAACCAGAGCTAAAGTGAGTTGCTCCACATCAACATGTCTACAGTGTTTTTCATTTGCGTTATATATGAATATGTTAATATCACTGGGATGCAAGGTAGGTAGATTGATCGTTAAATGTGACAGTCAAAACAATGATATTAAGATGGTTCATGTAATATTGGTTAAGCTGCCCATAAATATGTGTATTGTAGTTAATAACTGTCTGTAGGTCTCTGCTATCGTGGGGCATGCACATGAAAACATTCACATAATAATGTGTTAGGAGCACAGGGGTCCCAGATGGCTCAGGGGATTGGTAGTGGAGTAAGGGGACTTCCACTGCCAAGCTCAGGTTAACTCCAACCTGGGGCAGTAGCAACCAAATGCCATTACAATCTCAAGGCACTTTGGTCTCAGTGAAATAGACTGTGGTACAAAAACCTCAAATAGAATAGAAAATAAATGAAAGGTCTCAATCCATTTCCTGGGAAACAAGTGTCCACCCCTCAGAAACCACTGCAATTGGTTCTGACTGGAAGCTCGGGTCAATAAGGAGATTGAGGATTTTGCTCTGTTGTTATCATGGGAGAAGGTCCCTCCAGGTCCAACCAAGACACGCTGGCAGGACAGCGTATGGAATGTTGCGCTGCAAAACGCTAGACCTGGACCTGTTGAGTACCTGAGCCAGAAGCCATCAGTTCCCAGGGCTGTCAAGCCAGCACCTTTCATGAACACTTACTTTAAAAGGTTGTGTTGTTTTTTTAAAGAACTCAGAAGTTTCTGTTTATTTTTGGAGATTTCTTGAAAATTTTAGGGTCTGCACTGGGGGATGAAAATGCAAGTTGCTCACTAGAGGGTAGCTATTAAACAATCAGGAGCATTCATTTATCATTAATAAACTGAGCACTCAGGGAATTTTATGTACATATTATGATCTGAGTCATAGACTTTAAGGTCAGAAGGAACCCTCATGAAATAATTATGACCATTACCTGTCCCTAAGCCCCAATATAACTGAATTTCTTTACATAGGCAACATTCAGTACTTTGCTAATTATTCTGTTTTTTAAATAAACATGAATTTTGGTTAAAAGTTAGTAAAAGAAGTAAAAAGAATTGACTTTGTTTGTTGTATCAGTAGGACTTTTTTGTAGCATCACCTAAGTGTTGTACATTTTGGTATCCGTAATGATGTAGCAATAATAATAATTGTATCGGACCTTTATGTATCTGTCATCCTGGTGGACCCACAACACTTCACACGTACACAGTACCACTGAATTGTAGGGGCTGTGGGCAGTCAGGCAATGGTATGGGGAGATGGGGAGAGCAGAAATGAGGGTCCAGGACTCCAGGGAAACCACTTCTCTTTCAGGAAGTGTCATGGGATCTTTGCTCTTAAGATTTCATCGGAAAGAGCTACACATAGGAAACTGCCTGGTGCTCAGTTTGTCTTTTTCAAAAGTGTAATGGGATGAGACAACTCTGCTAGGAGTTAAACCTGCAATTCAGGGCTTCTGTGTGTTTGCAGCCTGAAGCTTGGATCGCTCAGCTCTCTACTTTGGGTGCATGTTAACTGCCTGTTGTTTTCTTTATTTTTATACCCAACTGCATCATCCATAAGATGTTTACCTTTTTTTTAATTCCTTTTTTTGGGGGGCAGGCATTTACAGAGACACAGAAGAAAAGATTGTTGTCATGGAAACAGCAGGTGCAAAAACTCTTCAGGTCTTTCCCTCGGAAATCCCTTCTAGACATATCAGGATATCGGCAGCAAAGAAAGTACGTTGGGATTTCATCTCTCTGATGCAATGATTGTACTTTGTGGGTTGGTATCTTGGACAAGATTACGCCAAAGGGGATAATTACACTAACATTCACACTGTGCTAGCTGGAACTCGATGGGTCTGAGTCATGAGGCCAGTTACCTCGAGTGCAGGCAGGGCTGGAATATTTCACCTTGTTCTGTTTTAATTCTGTATGTCACAGCCAGCTCTCAAATGTCACTTTAGAGCAGTGGGTCCTGTTATTAGTTATAAGCTCTGATTTGCATTATACTAGCACCTTGAGGTTCCAGCTCAGATCAGGGCTCCATTGGTACTAGATGTTAAACTGAGAGACAGTCCCTGCCCCAAAGTATAAATAGACAAAAGCAAAGGGTGGGTAAAAAGTCCTATTGTCCCATTTTACAGATGGTGACCTAAGTCTAGAGAGATTCAGTGACTTGCCCCAGGTGACAAAAGCTGCCTGTGGCGGTGCTGGGATTTGAACCCAAATTTCCTGAGTCACACTTTGGTGGCTTACCAACAAGACCATCCTTACTCTATGTGGCGCCCACCTTAAATCAGGGATTCTGATTGACCTGCTCATCTCTCAAGCCTACACTTTCCCCACGGTAATTGGAGCACTTGAAAAGATTAAAAAGTAGGGCTGTCAAGTGATTAAAAACAAATAATCGCACGCTTAATTGCTCTGTTAAACAATATTAGAATACTATTTATTTAAATATTTTTGGATGTTTTCTACATTTTCAAATATATTGATTTCAATTACAACACAAACTACAAAGTGTACAGTGCTCACTTTATTTTTATTACAAATGTTTGCACTGTAAAAAAGAAAAAAGAAATAGTATTTTCAATTCACCTAATACAAGTATTGTAGTGCAATCTCTTTTTCATGAAAGTTGAACTTAGAAATGTAGAATTACGTGCAAAAAAAGTAACTGCACTCAAAAATAAAACAATGTAAAACTTTAGAGCCTACAAGTCCACGCAGTCCTACTTGTTCCGCCAATCGCTCAGACAAACAAGCTTGTTTACCTTTGCAGGAGATAATACTGTCCACTTCTTGTTTAAGGAGAAAGTGAGAACAGGCATTCGCATGGCACTGTTGTAGCTGGCGTCACAAGATATTTATGTGCCAGATGCGGTAAAGATTCATATGTCCCTTCATGCTTTGCCCACCATTCCAGAGGACATGCGTCCATGCTGATGACGGATTCTGCTCGATAACAATCCAAAACAGAGCAGACCGACGCATATTCATTTTCATCATCTGAGTCAGATGCCACCAGCAGAAGGTTGATTTTCTTTTTTGGTGGTTCAGTTTCCACATCTGACTGGTGCTCTGTTAAGACTTCTGAAAGCATGCTCCACACCTTGTCCCTCTCAGATTTTGGAAGGCACTTCTGATTCTTAAACCTTGGGTTGAGTGCTGTAGCTATCTTTAGAAATCTCACATTGGTACCTTCTTTGCATTTTGTCAAATCTGCAGTGAAAGTGTTCTTAACTCGAACACCATGTACTGGATTGTCATCCGAGACAGCTATGACACAAAATATATGGCAGAATGCCGGTAAAACAGAGCAGGAGACATACAATTCTCCCCCAAGGAGTTCAGTCACAAATGTAATTAATACATTATTTTTTTAACGCGCATCAGTGGCATGGAAGCATGTCCTCTGGAATGGTGGCTGAAGCATGAAGGGACATGAATCTTTACCGCATCTGGCACATAAATATCTTGTGACATAAATACCTGGCAATGCCAGCTACAAAAGTGCCAGGCGAACGCCTGTTCTCGCTTTCGGGTGACATTGTAAATAAGAAGAGGCCAGCATTATCTCCTGTAAATGTAAATAAATGTATTTGTCTTAGCGATTGGCTGAACAAGAAGTAGGACCGAGTGGACTTGTAGGCGCTAAAGTTTTACATAATTTTGTTTTTTGAGTGCAGTTATGTAACAAAAAAAATACATTTGTAAGTTGCGCTTTTGTGATAAAGAGATTGCACTACTGTTCTTGTATGAGGTGAATTGAAAAATACTATTTCTTCTGTTTATAATTTTATAGTGCAAATATTTGTAAAAAAAAAAAAAATCTAAAGTGAGCACTATACACTTTGTATTCTGTGTTGTAAATTGAAATCAAATATTTGAAAATGTAGAAAAACATTCAAAATATTTAATACATTTCAATTGGTATTCTGTTGTTTAGTGTGATTAAAAGTGCGATTAATCGCGATTAATTTTTTTTAATCGTGGCTCATTTTTTTTGGTTAACGGCTTGAGTTAACTGCAATTAATCGACAGCCCTATTAAAAAGTAATAACAGCACTGTCCCTCTCTGCAGTTTGGTTTTCTCTCCTGTGTTGCTGCCCCTCCAGTTTTGGTGTCATCTGCAAATTAAATCACTGTTGGATAAATACCAGGAAAAGCAATCAACAAGGGTGCAGCGAGGCTCTTGAGCTTGTTTAGGTTAGTTGATCAAAAAACATCAGGAGGGCCCTGTAGTGGGCTACAAATGACTGGAATCTTCACTGCTTGAACACTGAGACTTGCTTCTCCACTGTGACTGAAGAAGCACAACACCACAGACCTGCGCCTTGGCTAGAGAACCACTTAGCAGGAAACACTTCATTAGGGTGAACTTCACCCCTGTGCAGAGCACCAGCATACAGCAGGTGTGCCACCTAACGTCATGCCTAAATGCTCAAAATAAGGCATATGTGGGGTATCGACCGAGACTGGATTCTCTGCACCCTGCAAGGCGTGAAATTCCCCCCTCCTGATCTAGATCAAGTGTGTAATTTTCTTGTACTTTCTTTGCTCTTCCAGTTTGGGTGAAGCTGCAGGCTAAGAATGCAATGGTGCAGCTCTGCCTTTCACATAGTTCCATAGGTATAATGGCAAAATCACTTCCTGCATGAGGTTTAAAGAAACTTGGTTGTGTGTCATGATGGGTAGATTTATACTGGTCTGGATCGCATAATCGTATTATTTTTGAAGTCTTGTTCACTATAGCATGCATAGGCAGGATAGATTAGGGCTAAGAGGAAGGTGAGTTGAAACGTCAAGGGTTGGAGAGGGGCAGGGCGATACAGGAACTGCATAAGTGATAAGAGTTGTTAATCTCCCAATAGCTACGCTCATTTCATAGAATCATAGAATATCAGGGTTGGAAGGGACCTCAGGAGGACATCTAGTCCAACCCCTTGCTCAGGACCAATCCCCAACTAAATTTGTCATGTTTCAGACGTCAGCGGGTAAATAATAAGTATCACAGCAAAACTACCCATCTCTTTGTGTAATCATTTAAAACAATTGGGCAAGAACACTAGGAAGACTTTACACCGCAGTGAAATCTGCATGTTCTATTTGTTCTATGGTATCAACCGGTTCTTTATTTTTTTGGTGCTGTTGCTTTGTTTCAGTGTGGCATACCAGTAACTAACAGTGTGACATAGAAATGGGTAAAATGTCCTAATTACAAACCAAGCCTGCCACTAGAGATATGTGTTTAAAAGACACATTAACCAAAATTCCCTCAACTTCACTACTGCACAATGCCTCCATACTAGAGCCATCAAACTGTGGGAGAAACTTAATCTGCAAACACTTGTTTTTCACATGGCAAATGAAAACAAATTCCACTCCTTGTTCATCGGTTGTGCAGACTGCCCCTCACTTTCATCATCATGCCCCGTTACCCCTAAATAAAAGAATTTAGTTTATTGGGCTGTTGCTCCCGCCATACATGTGGGGGAGGTGAGTTAATGAGATTTAAGGGCCTGATTGTTCACTCCCTTCCCCTGTGCAAATCAAGAATAACTCTACTAAAATCAGTGAAGTAACTTACTCTGGTGTATCATCAGAATCAGGGAGATGAGGAGGAGGCCCTGAGAGTCAGAATCATGAACCGGGCTTGTCGGGGAGCTTTTATTCATGGATTCTAAGGGCAGAAGGGACCACTGTGATCATCTAGTCTGACCTCCTGCATAACAGAGGCCAGAGAACTTCCCCAGAATAATTCCTGTTTGAACTAGAGCAGATCTTTTAGAAAAACATCCCATCTTGACTGTATGTGGTTACACATAGTCTAAGGACCAGACTATGTTCTTCTGACTTCAGGGAAGTTACTCTGGGTTCAAATTGCTGTAACTGAGATCAGAATCTGGTTCTAAGCAGATAACATTTGTTATCCACTTGCTGCCCATCTCCATTAGTGTCAGGCTGCCAACCCAACCGAGACTGCATCGTACTGGTTTACAGAGAAAGTGCTTTTCACAACCAAATGGGCTAAGAGATCTGTAAACTTTCTGGCCCCATTTACTCTGGGTTTTCAAACTGTGTTAGCGCTGTTCTAAAGAACTGTGTTTAAACCTGGCTCTTGCTAGGGAGGTGTTAATGCAGTTTGACATCTTAGTGTGGATGGAGCCTTTGAGACTGACCAGCCCTTTTCTAACGATTGTCACTCACACAAGCACAAACAATCCAAAGGAAGATTTGATACCGGGTGCAATGCCTGTGTCTCATTCTGTGCAGAAGTTGTCTACATTCATCATTTCTTTTCTCTCTCTTTCTCTTTTTCTTTTTTCTTTTTTTCATTTAAAATGAGCAAATTTTAAACCAGCCAAATAAACCAAAAATGTAAACCGCAAACTCCTAACACATAACCAAATATAGAAATTAGAGAAATTAAAGCCTTAAGTAAGCCAAAGAAAGGAAAAACACGTACACACCAGAAACAAGCAGGAACGCAAGTGGCTTCAAAGAGGCATGGATCTGGCCCTGTGGACCCAAATCTTGAGATGCTGAGTGTTATGTTCACACCATGCACACAGAGAAGTTAGATTAAAAACATAAAATACTTGTGCTGGATGCTTGCAACATAACACTACTTTATTTCTTAGAATTTGGAGTGGTAACACCCAAGAACCAAAAACAGATAGAGAGAAAGCAGGCTGCTCCCTAACACAGAGGCACAACTCACCTCATTTGCGCTAGGCTGCCTTCTTGCAAACTGACTTTGACAGATCTGCGTGCTTGGTGCTTCCCTACAGAGCCCTTTAAGCAGCAAACCAGACCAGGAAACCCCTTCAAAATTAAAGTGATGGTTTATAATTTTAAATTTGTTTTCCATACACCACACTCAGCACTGTCAACTCTCATTTCATCGGAGGCAAAGGCGCTCAGCATCTCACGGCGTCAGGTCCTTAGTAGGTAAAGAGCCACAAAGGAAGAGAAAACTAGAAGCAAATATAGCTCACAGAGGAACCAAGAATCAGCTTAGGACCCTTCTTTGTCACTGTGGGAAATGCAGAGTAGCACGGGCATCTTGAGAAGGCTGCATGGGGCTTGCAAGCCGCGGAGTGCCGGTATATCAGTTTTTTATTTCCAGTGCAAGCTGAGATTCTGGAGAATATACCAAAACCCCCTGGGCACCGCCAGAATCCATATACTTCTCCAGGCTAAGTGTCTGGATTTCTCCCTGTTTAGCACTTAAAAGGTCATTTACATCTCACCAGCCATCATGAAACAAATCCCTCCTGCCTCTCTTCCACGCACTCTGCTTTGACTCACTCACAGGAGTATGGTAAGCAGGATAGGGCTTCAAGGGGCTAACCCGAAGTTTAATGCTAGCCACGGGGCTTACATGTGCCGCTGTCCTCTGAATCCAGTGAAAGCAATTCTGTTCCCTCTTGTCGCGATCCTCGGGAAGACACTTTGGCTAGTTTGGCATTAGAGAGCCCTGTCCACTGAAGTCAGTGTGAGTTTTTCCATTGATTTTAGTGGGAGAGGGGTCAAGGCGACAGCTCGTTAGGCTGTGCTGATTTCCAAACCCATCTTTAACCACTACTAACCACGTGCCATTTGAATATATTCTGAAAGTATTTCGAAGTCCGCTCATGCTTGCGTTTTAAAAGGTTAAGATTCTGAATGTTCAGAACCTGTTATTTTTTCCTCTTTCCAGTCGAGGCTTTGGCCAGTCGAACTCCTTACCAACAGCTGGCTCTGTCGGTGCAGGAATGGGCAGACGGAACCCACGCCAGTTCCAGATTCCCTCCCGGAATCTCCCCCCCACCCGGCTGGGTCTGCTGGGCCCCAGTGGACTCCTAGGAGCTGCACAACGCAGCGCAGCTACCAACCCAACCATCCTGAAACAAGGAAGACAGGTGTGTGTCAGTCTGTCCGTGTTGGTGCATGTCAGACCGCCAATGCTGCAGGGCGGTTGTTAGCTGCAAAGCTGCAGAGGAGGGTCTATATTTTTTGTGCCTGCTGAGTAATACTTTGGGTCTGATCCGACAAGACGCTGAGCACCCCTGATTGCCAGTTTCGTCAGGTGTGGGTGGCTTCCAGAACTTAGCAGGGTCAGGCCCATATACATGACAAGGGATTGGTCCAAATGTAGCTATTTACTCCCCAATGGCTGAAGAGAAAACTGCTACTAAAGAAAACAAGTTAATCAGCTCTTTGCTAAGGTTAACGTGGAATGATTTTTCTGATTTTCCTCATCTGACTAATGTGTCTGGGTACTCTTTTTTACACGCGAGCCCAGTGAGAACAGTCTGCAGGCATTTCCTGTTTTTGCTCTTTTCGGTGTAGCGGGGTACTGAAAAGGGACAAGCAGAGCTGGGAGAGAGGGACAAATCAGGCTTCAGAGAGGGTTGGAGGAAGAGAAATGAGCCAAGGGTTTTTTATAAATACATCACTCGGAGAGTAAGTGTCACTCGCTGAAAAAGCCCTTCGCAGGGAGAGGGTGACCCAGTGACTAGAAGATGTAAGGCTGGGGAGATCAGGAAAGCATTAGCATACAGAGCGTGCTGAGGTTTTTAACACACCCAGACTGTGTCCTACGTTAGCGTGGCTCTGGCATTTGTTTTACAGTATCGTTGGTGTGTTTGTTTTCCATAGAATCTCTGGTTCGCAAACCCCGGGGGTAGCAACAGCATGCCAAGCCGGACCCATAGCTCCGTGCAGAGGACGCGTTCCCTGCCCGTCCACACATCCCCACAGACCATGCTGATGTTTCAGCAGCCAGGTAGGACGAAGTCATTTGTCTTTTGCTTATTCATCCCCTTGTCATCTGAGAGTACAGTATATTAAAATAGCTGCACTAGTGAACCCTGCCTACAAATGCTTAGCCTCAACTGTCACAATACATTCCTGGGTGCTTATAGAAAGCTTTCTTTTTTTAAACTCTGCATTGCAAGCATGAACAGTGGTGGGCTGGCAGCAAGCCAGACTCTGCAAGCTCAGAGTCTGTTGCAATCCGACCAAGATATTTTTTGACACTAGTCAGATTACTGGATTGATTAAACTAGAGACATCACTGGAGGGATTTTGACCCTATATATAACAGACTGACTGTGCTGGTGCCCAACATAGCTTCCTTCTGCAAGGCTTTGTGTTACATGGGGAATGTTGTAACTCTTTTTTGCTTTTACATGGACTGGAAAATCCAGTGCAGAAGAGAAATGACTTCATGCATTTTAGGGAAATTCTTTTGAGAGAGACATTCTGAGGCAGAATTTCAACACACTGGGGATTTTAATTGTTTCCTTGCACACTTTTAATACCCTTCCGTGTATAAGAACATCCTGTCATTCTTTTTGGTTTGCTGAGTGTCCATCTGAATCCAGAGGAAAAAGCTCTGAGACTTTAGTGCATTTTTTCTAGTATATCTTAACTACGTATGTTGCTCTACTATCCTTTTAATGCAGCCTTTCTGTTAATGTACAGTAGTATTAATAATCTGCATTGTTCCAGCAATAATTCACCATAGAAACAAATCTCATTCAAAAGAAGTTTACCACACCAGAAACTTACACCCTTGTTTCAGCCTGGGCCTCCTTCTAGCCTTCTCGTGTATTATGTGTCCGCGTTGTTTTGACTGTCCTAGATTGCAAGCCTCTTGTTGCAGGGACTGCGTTTGCCTCTGGGTATCATCCAGAGCCCAGTGTAATGGCAAAGTTCGATAAATATTACAGAATAAGAAATAGGTTCTTCTTGCATGTTAGCCTGCAGGTGATGAGGACTCTAGAGGACTGGAAAGTGGCATTGCCGAAAAAATATGTGTAGAGTAGCCAAGAAAATGATGCATTTATTTAGTAGTAGTATTAATAGTTTGCATGTATACAACACTTTTCGTTGGAGGATCTCAAAACACATTGTAAACACTAATGAATTAATCCCCACAACAATCCTGTGAAGTAGGAAGGTATTATACTTATGGGGTAAACTGAACAGAGAGATTAACTGAGTTGCCCAAAGTCTTACAGCAAGTTGATTGTGAAGTTAGAATTGCAACCCAGGAGTCCTGACTCTGTCCCTGCTCTGAATATTAGACTGCACAGTCACATCTAGTCAGCCTTATTTCTTACATCTCATTCATGTAAGCTTGAGATGCATTTAATGTGAATGTCTGTTCAGTCAGAACAAAGCTGGTCTGTTTGTTCAAGCAGAATACTGCATGGGGTGAAAACATAGCTGATCTAATTCTGCTGGCTTTGTAAAATTCAGCCTCAGTTCCCTTACCCATGGCTCTGTGGGATCCTGCAAACTCCACAGGGCGTCATACCTCTGTCCCTTGAGGAGGACTATTTGCAAAGAACTCAAAGAGGGGAGCTTCAGGGAGTTCTTCTGATCTCCTAGCCCCCTCCTGCAGAGAATCCAGCAGGGGGGACCTAACCCAGGTGACGGGACAGAGGAGAGGAATCTAAAGGGATTGTTTAAATTAAGAATAAAGCCATAAGAACGAGCCAAAACCATCCTACAAATGCTAAATTTAATAATAATAATACTTAGCTCTTAGAATTTGGTGCCAATTTCTTGCCTAGAACACTCCCCCAGCTCCTGCAAGCCGGGCACAAACATCTGAGGGCAGAATGTTGGCTCTAAATTTATGTGCTATTTAAAACTAGCACCAAAACTTGTTTCTACCAGGGATTAAAATATCACCTGAACTAGGAATGCACATTGATGACTGTCCAGGAGGGATTTAAGGAAATACTGCCAGCGTCTTCATCTCATCTGCATTGAGCCCAGATTAAAAGGTGATCTGGAAGAAAGAGAGGAAGCAGGTCATGTAAATTAGTGGGCTATTCCACTAATTCATCGTCAGACCTGTTGGGGACACCACCTGCCCTTAATTTCCAGTCATCTGACGGCTGATTTGGAGCTCTAAAACACAAGCCTTCCCAGGTAGCTCACAACCTTACTTGGTACGCGACTGCAGCATGCCACGATTTTAAGACGCAAATGATGGTTTCAGATAAACAAGCTCTTTCCTTCCACCTGCTGTGAGTGGAGGGAGTGAAAAGAAAATAATCTTGATATTGCTCCCATAAAATGCTAAATATCTTCGATCCATTGAACTCAAGAGATGTTTCTTTAGATGTCTGGGGTAAGATCACATTCCTTTTAAGCTGTGCTGTGGGCGTCTCTCCTGCTAGTTATATTTATCCTCCATATGAATCAGAGAAGTTAAAGTTGGAGAAGACCTCTTAGGTCACGCCTCGGTCATCCCTTGGGGACCAGCCCAGATCTCCACGGTAACACAGGATACGTCAGAGGAAGGGAAAAAGATCCCTCATAAGGCACCTACACCGTCTGTTCTCCAAGGCTTTGTCCAGCATGGTTTCAAATGACCCCAGCAATGGAGCTTATTTTTAGTTTCACTTCTGTCATTTGTACAGACAAGTTTTACAGCCCTCGTGTCCCTGGCACAGAGGAGTTTCTGGTTTTGCCCTACGTGCAACTTTCAAGTTCATAAAAAAATCAAGTCCTGGTCTCTACACACACTATGGCAAATTAAATCAACCTGACACAAACTACGTCTAAACAGGGAATAGCCAATATTATGCCTCACTTTTGTTTTAGGCATAAAATACTTTTGTTCTAGAGGATAATCATAACAATATTATCAATTACAGTATACTCCTCTTTATCCGAAACCCCGTGTGATGGGGTTCGGTCCACCACTGCAGCGCCTCCTGCTGGCTGTCCTGGGAATTAGCTCTGTATGCCAGTGCGCCCTCTTCTGGTGACGTTCTGCCCCATCACTCTCCAGCTATGCTGCACTCTGTGCTCCCTGGTTCCGGGGGATAGTATCACAGTCCCTCAGTCCAGCCACTTCCTCCTGACCTGGGCCCGCCCACTACTCTGGGTCCTGGCCCAGGGACCCTGAAGATGGCTGCCATTTACTACGTCCCTGCCGACTCCTCTATAGATCTCCCTGGGCTACGTTCCCACAGCCCCAGCACCCTCTTTGCCCTTGCCTCAGGGCCTCAGCCTGCAGCACTGCTCTGTCTGGGGTGCTTGCTGCCCTCCGCCTGCAAGGCAGTCACTCCTCCTCAAGCTCCAGGGAGTGACTGACGCTGCTCTGCTCTGCAGCCTTTCTTATATGGGCCAGCCCGGCCCTGATTGGCTGCTCCCCGCAGCCTCTCTGTAACTGGCTGCCTCCTGCACAGCCTCCATCACATCCCATTATCCGAACTGCCACGCTATCCCAACCCCTTCCTTGCCCCCCTCGTGTCTCATGCTGAGGGACAAGGAAGGGATTTGGAGAATGTGGAGGTTCAGATAATAAAGCAGAGTCCCCCGGCCAGGACTGCAAGGATGGGCACAAGCCCCCAGCTGCAGGAGGCCAGCCCGCTGCTGTATAGCTCCTATGACAGTGCAGGGAGCCCTCTGCAGTCCCGCTGTCACCGGAGTGATGGAGCGTGGCCATGACAACGGTATTGCCTAGGGCTAGTGACACCGGATCCCTGCAGGCCCAAGACGCAGGATGGCTCCAGTGTTGGCGGGGCAGAGCAGAGTCCTGGCTGCTTTGCCCCACACAGTCCAACTACACAAGGTAGGCAAAGGAAGTACTCTTGTCTTCATTGTGCAGCTGGGACTCAGATCCTCAGAGGTATGTAGGGTTCCAATTCCCATTGATGTCAGCAGAAGTTAGGAGCCTAACTACCTTCGTGGATCTGGAGCTGTGTGACTTGCTCAACGTCACGCAGGGAATGAACCCAGCTCTCCTGAATCCTGCGCCGGGGCCTTACAAGACCATCCGTCCTCCTCTGATAGCAACAGTTAAGTTAATGCAAACCCCATGCCATGCATTTCCCCAGCAATTGCCTGGAGAGAGTTTCCTTTAAGAACTGCACTGTCACTGCTGACCCAGTCCACAAAACTCTAGGGACCTTGGGATAAGAGGGTCAGATAGAAAACATCCTCAGTCAGCTATGCCTCATTGCTGCCTTTTTACTCCTGTGCGCTGTGTTTACAGATGATCTGATGAGGGAGTTTTGATTTATGCAGCTCTGAGGCCTTACAATGCACATGTATCATTCTGTTCAGCTGTTGGCAGACCTACGGCTTAGAGGACACTGATGCTCCTTCAGTAATGCCCAGCGATGGGATTTCACAATTCCTTTAGTGACTCTGACTATCTTTACAGTCACTGTGGAGCGGCACCTTCACAACAGGGACATTTTACTGTCTTTCTTCATTGGCCTTGCCAAGCCCTTTCTTTGTAGTATTTTCAAACCATGTGAGGATCTTTCTAATACAAACCTTGAACCTTTCACTTACATCAGTTCGTCTCTGGTGGAACTTCATTGAATTCCTCCTGATTTACACTAATGGAGGTTCATACCCTTAGTTTCTCATGTTGGAAGTGCTGTCAAATAAAAGTGTGCCCCATTTTAAAAAACAGTCCTTGCTAGAAAGTTAGTAGGGTTGAATTCTCAGTCCTGGTTTAGCAGTCCAATAAAACAGTTTATAGGCCCATGGTATATAGGCAAGGCCCAGACCCTCAAAGGTATTTAGTCTTCTATCTCTCTGCCTAGGCCTGAATCTTCAAGCAAAGGATGAAGTTGGCCTTGTTGTTTCAGTTCATATAAGTAAAACAAAGTTACTGGATTGTGAATGGATTTGAGTGTTTTGCCCTAATTGTGCTGGGGTTATTTCCTTCTAAACTCCTGCCTCCTAACCTACAGCTTTCATCGCTTTGCCCTGCAATGGCCAGTCTGAAACCAAGCCTCTAATCATCATTAATTATTATGGTAGCACGTAGCGGCCATTGGGCTTGGTGCCTGTATGAACACATAACAAAGAGACAGTTCCTGCCCTGAAGAGCTTACAGTCTAGGTATAAGACTGTAGACAAATGTAAGGTTTGGGTTTCATGATTATGTACTACATCACTGCAAATGTGTGAATCTCCGTCAGTGGTATTAGTTAGTGGCTGGGATGGTGTTTGCAAATCAAAACTGATTTTAAACAGGTGTGTGTGTGTGTGTGTGTGTGTGTGTGTGTGTGTGTGTGTGTGTGTGTGTGTGTGTGTGTGTGTGTGAGAGAGAGAGAGAGAAGAA